ACGGGAAGGGGGTTTGGGTCCATTGGGATTGTGTCCGATGGGAGTGAATGGGAAGGGGGTTTGGGTCCATTGGGATTGTGTCCAATGGGAGTGAACGGGAATGGGGTTTGTGTCCATATTGGGATTGTGTCCGATGGGAGTGAACGGGAAGGGGGTTTGGGTCCATTGGGATTGTATCCGATGGGAGTGAACGGGAAGGGAGTTGGGTCCATTGGGATTGTGTCCAATGGGAGCGGACGGGAAGGGGGTTTGTGTCCATTGGGATTGTGTCCGATGGGAGCGAACGTGACGTCATGATCCAAGATGTTGGAACAGCCATTGTCACACATCCGCGTCCAATCCCACGCCCTGCAGGAGGCAACCAATCGAAACGCAGTGCCGCCCTACGACCTACAGCAAGGGTCACTCGGGGGAGGAAGCCGGCCAATCGGAAGCGAGTTTCTCAGGTCAAGGTCAGGTGTCAAAGGTCTGGATGAGACGGCTTCAAGGGCACTGAAGTATGATAAAGCAGAAGCTGTTCCGTTCCCTCTGAGAACTGGCACCAAAACACCCAATAAGTCGTGCCTCACCCTTTCATTTGTAAAGGGAGAGTTAACAATTATATAACATGCCTTCTACTGGTTAAATAAATTAAATCACTCAACGTGACAATTTACTTTTCCAACTCTAACCGTGAACCAATTAACTCCACTATTAACAAACGAATAAACCCCCTCTAACCGCTAAATATTCCCAAATTCAAGACGATTCTAATGTTATGCTGTTCCAATAAGTACAAGTCCCACTTGCATAAAAATAAAATAGAAACAAAATAGAACTTCGCCTCTCGAAATTATAGCCAGGTTACATGCCTTCTAGGATGTTCCCCGCCGCATCTTCTCCCGGGAACGCCTTCCCCGTTGAATCTTCCGTCACGGAATACTAACAAGTTTGTGCCGAAGGTATCTTCGATTTAGGTGGAGCTTTCTCCAGCACTTAGAGAATTCTGTGAGAGCCAGCGTTTCTCTCTCTTGAGAGTGGTTAACTCTGGCAGATGCCAGTTTGCTCTCCTCTCTCTGTCCAATGGCCCTCTCCTTTTATACCCTTGATGACCTACCAATTTCTTACACTAGGATTGGTCCTATGTTGCCAAAATTTTTAGGTTCAAATTTGATTGTTTTCCTTTTTCAGTATCTAAGTGCCTGGTTCAAATTGATTGGCTCGGTTCAAAACTCCGTTGTCCACGGTCACAAAACCAAACTCCTGCTTGGCCTGCCGACTGCACGGCCTTCAAATATATACGTTTCAATTCCGGCGCTCCCTGTAGGCCCGCAAGCTGCTTCCCACAGACATACTTCTCGGATCTCTCAGCATAGAAAAAGCACATCACCTTTTAAAGGGACCATGCACCACTTTCCCCCATCCCAGCATTTTAAAAGCACCAATATTTTACAAACACCAAATTCTAACGCCCTGCCTCCCTACCCACAAACACTCTACCCACCTTCACAACACAAGGATG